TATGGGATGCGCCACGCCCCCTTTTACAAACTCATTTATATAGACCTTAGTGTAAGCACCTACCAAATATATGACTGTATACCACATTTCAAGTTCATGCGACATATGGTTCCGAAGTTATAGCTGATAAAAAAAATCCACGCCTATGGGCTGTGCCACGCCCCCTTTTACAAACTCGTTTATATATACCCTCCTATGAGTACCTACCATTGGAATGTCTGCATACCAAATTCCATTTTCATGTGACTTATGGTTCCGAAGTTATGGCTGATTAAAAACTTCACGCCTATGGGTGGTGCCACGATCACTTGTTGGATCCCAATTTTTTCACCCTATTATAGGACCAGGTGGCATGGCAATACTCTGTTAAAATTTCGTTCGATTCTGTCCTTCCGTTAAGGCTGCAACCTGGCACATACATACATACTTCCGCAAATATATAGTAGAATATTCGTTACGTTAGTATAAAAAAGCCCTAATTCATTGTATAAAAGCCTGACGATTACTCACTAAACATCTACTATAGTCTATAGCATAAAATTGGTTACATTCTTCAATAAATACAGCCTTTCAAGAAATTCGGAGCGTGAAGTTCTTTCATCACTCCGTTATGAAATAAAAATGTTAGATTGTGCCCTTCTATATTAAGGCAACTACATATATATCGCTAGCTTATGGGAAAAAGTTACTAAGTCCATTTTTACAAATTTTACAGAAGAGGAGGAAAACTTCTCAGTCTTTGGATACAGCACTTTTCGTATTTAAATCAGAGCGAAAATCCATACGATCAGGAGGATTCGAGGTAGCAAATTTTGCGATAGCGAACCATACACAAGAAAATGAATTTATTCATGCAGTGCTCTAGTATGTTAATATGTACAGGTATAAGTTACTTGCCTTGTAATTGAAGAAAATACTTCCACTTTTCGGGGGCGCTCTAATGGCGACATGTTTTCCATCGATAGCTCTAACGCAGTTTGGAAAATTCCATTTTTCTTTATAACCATTCGCAACTGTAGACATGGTTTGCTCATTACATTCCGGTACTTGGCTCTTCAAAGCTTTGCAGATAGCTTGACTTACGTGCTATACTATGTGATCAAAATGCTGCTTACTAATTCTATAGCAGGAAGCTATATGTCTACACAAATCTCCCGTTGCAAAGTACCTGTTGATATAACAAATTACTTGTAAGATAGGACTCATAATTTTAAGTTACACATGTACTCTAAAACCATTGCCAGTTTGGCTTTTTCACAAATGAAATCATCCGGCCTGGTATTTCGCTTGCCCAGCAAAAATGGAAGTAGTATCTCATAGAGTGTTTCAAACGTGGCAGGAGTCATACAAAAGTTCTCGTTGAAGACTAGCTGAGCTCTTTAAGTTCTCGAAATCAGTCTCGAACCGACCCTTTGAGTTCCTTTCCCGGAGGTACGGACTTACGCGATATATTGGGGCTTTCTTGTGGGTGCCTTCTTCCATCATGGCAAGCTCCGTGCCAGCTATAAACAGTCCTAAGTTTATGGTTGTTAACAAATCACTCCTTAAATTTAATAAAAGCAAATAATAAAATGCAATTGACCGCGTTTAAATGAAATAATATATAAAATTTACCAATCGCTCATTTTTTGTATAAATAACTCACAATATTTTCATTTGCGGATTTCAGATTGTTTCGCAAATCTATTTCTTTGTTTACATTTTGTTATTCTTCTTCTTATATGGCCCACCAA